CACTACATTCATTATACACACTCTGCACTCACTAAAAACACACTGCATTCATTATACACACTCTGCACTCACTACAAATACACTACAATTATTATTCACACTGCACTCACTGCAAACACACTACATTTATTATTCATACTCTGCATTCACTACAAACACACTACCTTCATTATACACACCCTGCACTGCACTATATGCATAGGAGTGTAATTTTTTTAAAAAAAAATTTTTTTTAAGGGGGTGGGGGGGGGGAGGCGGGAATCTTGGGTGAGTTCCCACACCTTTTTCCCCAGGACTTGACCCTTGAATGTTATATTAGATTTGTATTAAAAACCATGCTCGGTTGTGGAATTTTGCTGAAAAGGTGTAATAATCATTTAATAAGCAGGCAGTCTCAGTACTTATGCAAAATGTGCTAAAACAGTGCTGATTGTTCATACTTCCAGCACATTTCTATATCACTCTATAAATAGTTACCTTTAATGTACCTGAGAAATCAATACAATCCATCTTATACATATTAATATAGATATAATAAAAAAATGGTCTATAAAAAAAATTTGCAATTTGTCCAGCAATAAAAAATGGAAAACAAGATGTTTAAATGTTCATTTGAGGAATGCTTAAAGGTGTGACACTCTTACACTTACTGTACTTCGTTTCAGATTAGTTAAAGCAATCACTTAACATGCGTGCAGCTGCAAAGTCATTTGTGAACGTTTACAAAAAGCTTGAAATAATGAATGAATAATATTAGCTTTGGATTTAAGTTGCTTCAGCAGCAGCAGGGGGCAAAATTAGATTTCTGCTTCCAATTAGCAAGTTCAGATGACAGGGTTAGACCATCTTCATTCATTTAGCACACAACTTTTAGATTATGAAACAGTTTAACAGGGTATCATCAGAATAATTCGTTTTGATAACAGTGTTAGAACCATGCACTCTCACTGGGCAATTAACAGTGATAGACAGTTTAGCCAAAGTGTGTCCTGAGGTCACACTTGTGTTTGATTTATAAGAATGCTGGATATTAATAACAATTAAAAAGAATACCAAGTTTTTGTTCAGCAGTTTGTAAAAAGTCCAATAAATAAACCTCTGATGAAGATTAATCAATAAATAGATTAATCAATAAAAAGACCTCTGATGAAGATGTATATAATTATATACTTCATTGAATTTTGCTGCAGATGTCCACAAATTCGGATGCATATGGAATATGTATCTAGTGAGAAAATACATTTTTTTTTTGCAATATCTGTGTATTATTCAAAATTTAAAAATTCTGTGTTAAATCTGATTTCAAAACAAAATGTAAAATGAAGTTTTATAAATTCAACTGAACTCCAGAATTAAAAGATATGAAGAAAGACTGGTAAAATTGTCACTCAGCATAACATGAAATCCATTTCATTAAATACAAACATTTCAGCGATCACAGGACACCTTGGTATATGTGTATATCGTATATCCTTTTTTGTCCTTTCTATTTTAGTTACAGGTCAAATGATGGAAAGTGTGCCTCATCTTTTCCATGATATAAATTGCTAAAAAAAAAATTTCAAAAAGCTGATTTTATAACTGAAATAATGGCACCACATGAATATTAACGAGGGACAGTGAGGACTTTTTTATGTAAAGACATTTAATTGAAAATTTCTGTTGAAGTTCACCTTTTTGCATTTATGTTGTCTCCTTAACAGCAGGGGGCAAAATTACATCCCTGCTTCCAATTAGTAGGTTAAGATGACAGACTTGTACCATCTTCATTCATTTTACACACAACTTTCAGGCTATGAAAGTTATTAAACACTATAACAGGGTATCATCAGAATAATTCTTTTTGATAATAATGTTGACAAATGTTGGGAACGTGCACCCCTAGATAGGCAATTAGTAGTAAGACAGTTTATTTAAATGTGTTCTCAATATACCACTCCCAGCTCAGATACGTGTTTGATCTATGTGAAGACTTGATATTGTTAAAGGTTAAAAAGAACTTTTATGCGTTAATCCATAAATGTTTCAAAAAATATATCTCTGATCAGTAATTTCTATTAAAGATCAATAAAAATGAGTGTGTTCACTAGGTATTGGGGCTGATGTGTACTATGGTCATTGCTGCCACCTAGGAGTAGTGGGAGTTTGAGCACAGGACTTATTTTGTGTATTTGTATTCACTTTCGTATCACACAGCTATGTTACAATGCTACCACCCACCCCATGTGTTCCCTATTAAGGGTTAATAAGTGTGTAGGGGTTTAGAAAAAATACCCCTCTTTGTCTCAGAGATTTTGTTTACCTGAAGCTGAAGGAAGCAAGGTGATATGTTAGTGTAGGACTCACCTGAGAGGTTTGTCTTGACGTGGCAGGTGAGTTTCCACCTAATGGCCATTGGAGTAATTCTAAAAACTTCCAGTTCTTTAAATATGTATAGGGAGTTGGGATAGTGTGCAAGCAATTATTTCCTTTGTTTTTACTATATACATTTTTATTTAAGTACCATATTATTTACATTTTTAATTAATTTAGTAGCATTAGAACATTTTAATTTAAGCAGAATTTTCTCTGTTAACGTTAAATTACCATATAAAACATGATTTGAAATAATCAAATGTGTGCTCCAAACACCATAACCACTAAAATCAGCTCAACAGGAAATGGAAGCTCTCTGCATTGCTCTAAGCCTGGTGGTACAGGGCTTAGGTCATTGGCTGAAAGTGATCATCTGATGCTCTTGGCTAACTAATTGAACCTGTACGGCAGTGTTTAGCTCACTAGAACTACTGATTCTAAAGCGCCAGGCGGATCACAGGTTACTTGTCAACATTTAGCAAATAGTGTAACTGCTTATAATAGGGGGGGCACCAGGGCACTCCAAGTACCATAACCACCATCTTCACACTGGCAATCATACAGGAAGATGAACAACCTGAAAAGCAATCTTGCATTATAATATGATAATGCAATAATATCTGTACAATTCTTTCATTTGCACCATTTTAATATGGTTTTTAAATCCCAAAAAATGTATGACACCTCTTAATACAGTTTATTGTAATACATGGACATAAAAGTAAAAATAACGCGGTGTCCACATCATGGCATTGACTTTAGTTGATTTGGATGTTTGAATGTTAACGTCCGAAGGGTTTGCTAGGAAGAGAAGGATGTCGTCAGCAAACACTGCCATTTTTTGTGGGCCTATCGGGGAGGGGGCACCTGTAATGCTAGGGTTAATCCTGATTTGATGAAGCATGGGCTCCAGTGCCAGGATAAAAATGAGGGGGGATAGGGGGCATCCCTGCCTTGTGCCGTTCGTTAGGGCGAATCTTCTGGAGATGAAATCGGAGTTCATGACTGTGGCTTGGGGGGAAGAGTAAAGGGATAGGAGCCCGGTCAGGAATTTTGTCGGGAAGTTGAACTTACGAAGGACCTCTGCCATATAACCCCAGTGGAGTCTGTCAAAGGCCTTCTCTGCGTCTAAGGCCATTATCAAGCCCTGTGACCGATCTCTATTCATAAGTTCCATTACGTCAAGGGCTCGTCTGGTGTTATCTTCCACTTGTCGCCCCGGGACAAACCCTGATTGTTCTGGGGATACTAATTGAGCTAGTATAGGGCATATTCTGTTCGCAAGGGTCTTGGCAAACAGCTTTGTGTCAGCGTTGAGGAGTGAGATTGGGCGGTAGTTTGCACATGTATCAGTAGTTTTGCCTGGTTTAGGGAGCGTAATAATGGTGGCTTCCAACATTTCCGTGGGTATCTCACTTGACTCTAGGATATGGTTGAATAAGGCCGTGAGGTGGGGAAGTAGTTGGTCCTCAAAAACCCTGTAGTAGTGGGTTGAGAAGCCGTCTGGTCCTGGGGCTTTGTGTCTGGGTGTGTCGTGTAGAGCCTTTGATACCTCAGATGCTACAATTGGGTTGGTCAGTGCGGTGGCCTGTTCATTGGAGAGGCGGGGGAGAGTCACCCCCTCTAGGAAGGCAGTAATGTCTTGGGGGCTGGGTTGGTGTTGGGTGGTGTCCTCAGGTTATATAGCCCTGCGTAAAATTGGGCAAATTTGTCTACTATTGCTCTGGGGTTTCTAATCTTGGTGAATTGGGAGAATGCCAGCCTGTGTTTTTATGGGGTGTTCAGCCCATGGGCATTGAGGGACACTAGGCGGAATTTATTGGCGGGGGTCATTTTAACTGGTTGGGGTAGCCCTAGGGCCTAGTCGTTTGGGTGTGGTATTACCTATTGCCACTACATGACAGAGTTGGTAGGGTAAGGCTATTTTTTCCCCTTGTCTTACCCAGTAGTGAAGAGGGAGCATCTCGGGTAGGGGGTTAGAACAGGAGGAACAACCTGAATCATAACCTAGACCATAAAACAGAAATAAAGATTATACATTTCTAACAGCTATTAAGCATTATGTGGGGGACCCCGCCGCCGAGCTCGCACCCTCTACTGCACTGAGAGGGGGTCACAGCGGCGGGCGGTGTCCCGTAAGCGTATCGGAGGAGGCGTCTGATATTTGGTGAGGCCTATACCTCTTTTAGAGCCTGGCTCCCTCTAAGAGGTAGGCAGCGGGGGAATATGGAGGCACGATTGAGCCTTTTCCTGTCTTTGCATAAGTCCATGAGTGGGTCGGGTGATTGCCTCTCCCATGTAGCTTGGTGGTGGGGGTGGGAGGAGGGGTGAGTACAACCTGGGTTCAGGTTTTAGTGAACAGTCTCTGCAAGGTTTCTGAGCAGCAAGTCTGACTGCTTAGGTGATAAGGCTCGCAGTGACAAGGTGGGCCAAGTTGCGCCGTGGTGTGGCAGAGTCATTTTTCTTTGTGCTGGGTTTGGGGGGGGGGGGAGTTTGAGTAAGAGTACTCACGTGGGTGCTGAATGTCCCTCATGCTATGCCATTCCCTGATTGGGATGGTCACCATGGGGAGTCTCATGGAACTTTGACAGAGTGACTGAGTTGGGCTGTAGCTGGCACCCTCTTCTGGGTGGCAGTAGCTCTCTTTAGGCCTTGGACCAATCTGCGGTTACCTTCTTTAGGGAGGCTTGGGCGTTTGGTGCTTTGTTGTCTGGGAACAAGCCCCAGGTCTTGAGCTTGTCCATGCCCAGAGCCGGATCTTCAATCTTTATTAGGGAGCCATTCCGCCAGATAAGGAGTTTTGTAGGAAATCCCCACCTGTACAGTATTTTGTTGTTCCTGAGGCATTTTGTAATGTTAATGAAGTCCCTTCTCCTGGCCATTGTTGTCGGTGAGAGGTCGGCAAAGAGGGAGATACATTCATAGGTTGGCTGCATCGCTGAGGCCTTCCTTTGCGCCATGAGTATGGCTTCCTTAGCACTGTAGTAGTTCAATCTGGTCACAATGTCTCTTGGTACTTCATGTGCAAGGTTTTGAGGTTTTGGCACTCGGTGTGCCCGGTCCAGGTGGAGATCCGCCAGCTCTACGCTTGGTTGGATCGCTTGGAAGAGTCGCAGTAGGTAGGCCGGCAGCTCTTCTTGTGTCACTGTTTCTGGTACTCCACGCACGCAGATGTTATTGTGGCGGGAGCGGTCTTCCAGATCTGCCAGGTTTTCCATAAGGCGTTTGTTATCAGCTTCCATCCTTTGTATTTTCTCTACTATGGTGTCATTCATATGGCAAAGCTCATCAGTTTTTTCTTCTAGCGCATTCACCCGTGTTCCCACTTCATGGGTGTCTTTGCGCATGTCAGAGACCGCAGCCTGGAAGTCAGTCTTCATAGAGGTGCGTAGGTCCTGCAGCATGGCTGCCAGGCGTTTTTCTGACACAGAGAGATCATCAGTGGTTACTTGCCTCGAATCTGTGTCTGACCCTGCGTCTGAGGTGTGAGTGGGTGAGTGGGAGCCGCTGCCATCTTGTTCCATGCGCTGCTTCCCTCCCTTACCCTGCCAGAAGAAATCCAATGCCCTTTGAGACTTTGGGGGTGCCATCTCGTGGGTAGGAGGTTCTCCTGCTGTTGGGCACCTTGGGAGGGTTGTTTTGGGCTCTTTCGCCACGTTTTTGCCGCTTTTTAGGCCGTACCGATCGCGGAGCTGCTACTGCATGCGACCGCTCCGTCCGACCGGAAGTCCTGTAAACTGAACTTTAATTACACAAAAAGAACACCAAGTGGTATAAAACACTAACAACTCCCATATAATGAAAATAAGTGCACTTAGTGACTCTAAATGTATTCACGCCATCAGTAAAATTATACTGCTAAAATAATCTGGACCAAACCTTCTGTTTCATCTTATATTTGTATGTTAACTATGTATTGCAAGTTGAAAATACACATTATGTTTACTCTTTTCCTTTGATGAAAACTGACATAGTAGGTAAGTGGTAGCAAACATTATTGTAAATAATAAAAAAAAAAAAGTTTTGTGAACATTAAATGGAATCGTGAATTATACTACATTTGGAATCTCCAGCATTGTTAGAGATTTTAATTCATTATTCCACCGTTTGCTGTCAATATGTCGGCTCTAGTGTATTGTAGTGTAACAAAATGGCATGTGATTTATGGCCTGCAGTTATTAAAATTTCCAGTCTGTTGTTAAGATTGATTCCTCTCTACATCATCTAAAACACTTTATGAAAAAACAATAACGTAAGATTTCTCAGATGAGAAGGCATGGTTATATTACAGTGGTTATCTATATTAGATAAAAATAGATTCAATTATTTGTGGTATGCCTAAGACTATTGAAACCCAATTTCCAATTCTCTCTGTATACCTGAAAAATGGCAGAATGTTGTTTGCAATACACAGCAATATCTTAAAATTAGACTGAACATACTTTCAACCATTAAAGTAGTTATTACACTATAAACCTTGTTTATTAGAGTCTATTGCATACAATATAGTTTAACAATGATGGTTTAGGGAATTCAATAAGCAAGATGTGAATCAAGTCTTACTGATGAATTAGCATTTGGTAAATTCATTAAAATCTCACGTAAAGAGGATATTTTATACGATCTGTTTAAAGTTCCTAAAGTGTAGGCTTTATAGACTAATTTCTAATCTTATTACAGCCCTTTGTGTGTGAAAAGTGTTGTGAAGTATTCACAACATTAAAGGTAAATTATATTGAAAAAAAAAACATTTTCAATAACTTATGCAAATAACGCAAAAAAATAAATAATGCAAATTCTTAGAGCATTATGGTTAGCTGATTGGCAGGCCTGAGAGAATATCTTAGAGTTACAGTATTTTTTACAAATGGCTGCAGTTCTATGCCACTCTTCGAGTTGGTAGTGAGTGCACGGTACTCTCTGAACCATCAACTTTGCAGTAAATTATATGTTAAGATGGTGTATAGAATGACCCTTTTAGATGCTACTTTAACCTCTTCTGCATGAATCACATTCTTTTACAAACTGTTTCTGAAGACTTATTCTAACATATATTGTATTGTGTATTTATCATGGTCGCACTGTACAGTCCCATGAGAGTTACTGTATAGAATAGGATACTGAAAGACTATTTGATTATAACGCAATATATAGTTATTGCTCTTTAAAGGGATTAATAACCATGAGAATAAATATTTTGTATCCTTTTCTACAATCCTGTTTACATTGGAAGTCATTTTAACTATAGGGAGCTCCTGCCATTATCTTGATGGAGTGATCCAAATGTTTGCAAGGCTATACACTTTGTAATATTTAACACCAGATTGCAATTCCGAGTATTGTAAAAATATAAATGCAATGCTGTAGGTATTTCATTTTCAGGTTGTAAACAGATGTTGTGCGGTGTCCTATATCCCCCCCCCCCAATACTAAGCACATTCTTACAAAGGTTCTTGACTTGTCAGTGTGAAGAGAGGTCCTGTCTGACACCGAGCCTGTCATCAAGTGGCAATGAACAAAGGCAACGTCAAGAAATAACTTGGAGCTAATCTGTATCTCTTTCTCAGCAGGAACTGAACAGATGCTGTTGTGTAGCACAAGTCCTGTAGGTGGTCCAGGGGGAATACTGTGTTTGGTCAAATCTCTGACCTATCATGGTGCTGAGTAAGAACATTGGAAGGAACACCTCACACAAAAAATAACACAAGATTTCTTTGAATTTGACAGCAAATGGTGACTAAAATAAGTGCCTTGTGCCACCCATGATTGGGAAACACAGATTAAACTAACATTGCCAGCATGGGTACTGGAGAAAATCTGTAATACAATATAGTCAGGCAGCTATGTAAACAGTAGGCCTGTATTTATATGACATAAACACAGTATGTGTGCAAATGACAGGTCATGCTGGACCCTGGCAGAATAAATAAGATAAAGTCAGTGATTTAGTGATAGGCAAGAAAAGCTCCCTGGTACATCTTATCAAGTCTAGCAGAATTTTAATTTAAAGTACTTCTCTCCAGATCCTTGCTCAGCATATCAGTAATGGGAGAAGTGCTGGTTTTAGGAGAACACCTATAATTAGCAGTGTCTGCCCAAGACTGTAAGAACTTAATTTCATTTTGGGTTTTTGGAGACATTCATAAACCAGTCAATATTCAGTCTAGTTGTTTCATGTGTCCAGGACCCAACAATACTATTAGTTTCCTATAATGCATGCCTTTTTATCACAGGTGGAACTATGGTTGAAAATGATTGGTTGCCTGACTATCACTACTGTAACTCACAAGTCCAACCAACAACCAGCTGAGATAGTTGTTTGCAGTGGCTAGGGAGGGGGATTGGGTCTGGATTGGGGACAGTAGGTACTAGGAGGAATCAGAAAAACTTTTGTTAAGAAAGTAGATTCCATGTTCATTAGAAAAAAAAAAAATATGAAATAGATGGAGGGTAAAGAAGGAGAGAGTATATTTTACAAAATACCATTATTTTTTCCATATAGCATTCAACTTGACAAGGCATCGTGGGAGTTGTATGATAGTTAAGGATCTATCTTTTGGCCTCCCTTGCTCTATAGGGGGCCAAAATGTATTCTTGCTCCAGGGCCTTCTCCAATAGTTCTGCCAATGCTCATTTTATATATATATATATATATATATATACACTGAACAGCCACAACAAATCTGCCTATTATTGTGTCGGACCCCTTTATGCTGCCAAAACAGCTTTAATGCTTCGAGGCATAGACTCCACAAGTCCTCTAAATGTGTCCTGTGGTTTCTGGCACCAAAACATTGTCAGCAGATCCTTCAAGGCCTGTATGTTGCAAGGTGGAACCTCTATGTATTGAATTTGTTGTTCTAGCTTCAGCACATCCCAGAGAAACTCTACCGATTTAAGTTCTGGGCATTGGGGAGGTCAAGGCAACACAATGAACTCTTTGCAATGTTCCTCAAACCATTCCTGAACAATTTTCCAAGTGCATTATTCTACTGAAAGAGGCCACTGCCATCAGAGAACAGCATTGCCATAAAGGGAAGTACAGGTCTACAACAATCTTTAGGTAGGTGGTAGGTGTAAAAGTAAAATCCACATGAATCCCAGGACCCAAGGTTTATCAGCAGAGCATTGCCTCTCATTCCTTGCCTTTTTCTATAGTGCATGCTGCCGCCATCGGTTCCCCAGGTAAACAACACACATGCACCCGATCATCCACCTGATCTTAAATAAAATATGATTCATCAGTCCAGACAACCTTCTTTCATTGCTCCATGGTATAGTTTTGATGCTCACGACACCACTGAAGTTGCTCTCGGCGATGGAAAGAGGTCATCAGAGGCACTCTGTCCAGTCTGTGTCTAATCAGCCTCATGCACAGCAAACTGCCATGCACTGTGTGTTCTGACAACTTTCAATCATAGCCAGCATTAAATTTTTCAGCAATTTTACCTACAGTAGCTCTTCTGTGTGATCAGACCAGACATGTTAGCATTCGAACTCCACATGCTGGTTCAATGGATTTCCTTAATTGCACCACTTTCGGTAGGTACTGACCACTGCAAAACGGGAACACCCCACACATTGTTTTGGAGATGTTCTGACCCAGTCATGTAGCCATCACTATTTGGCCCTTGCCAAAGTCACAGGTATCTTAGCTTGCCATTGGAATTTTGGTATTACTGAACCTGTGCTTCAGCTTTGCAGCTAGTAGTTTCCTCTGTTTTATGTTTGTTAGAGTAGATGTGTCCTAATTTTTGCAAGTGTCTTTCTGTTATAAGCAGTTGGGTTGTGTGAATATCCACCTTTATGTGAGAATTATGGGAGGAAAGATGATTAGAAAGTGTGACTTTGTCTGTTTCTAATAGATTTAATTGGAGATAAAGATGTTCCAGTCTACTGTTCTGAGGTGTTTTTGAAAACATGTGGCACATGAGAGAATGTCCTTGTCAGAGGCACTGAGATATTTGCTTGCCATTTTTCCTGCTTCCAACACATGAAATTCAAGAAGTGACTGTTCTCTTGCTGTCTAATATATCCTACCCCTTGACAGGTGCCATTGTAACAGTATAATCAATGTTTGTTTATTTACTTTACCTGTCAGTGGTTTTATTGTTGTGGGTGATCATTGTATCAGTGTATACAGTTTATTATATTACAATATATATATATAAATATATATTGTGCTGTGTGATAAAACTGCACATTTTAGAGTGGCCTTTTATTGTGGCCAGCAAAAAACTTTTTTTACTGTTATAGATTGAATAGCAGTCAGTGTCCTTAAAGCGGGTGTGTTACGCTAACAGTGGATACGCTGACAAGTGCCACTAATTAGATCTGGTGTCACAATAGTTGGATTTAAAAAAACAAAAACTTTTTACACTGTTATAGATTGAATAGCAGTCAGTGTCCTTAAAGCGGGTGTGTTACGCTAACAGTGGATACGCTGACAAGTGCCACTAATTAGATCTGGTGTCACAATAGCTTGGATTTAAAAAAACAAAAAATTTTTTTCACTGTTATAGATTGAATAGCAGTCAGTGTCCTTAAAGCGGGTGTGTTACGCTAACAGTGGATACGCTGACCAGTGCCA